GGTTTTCATTATACTTCATTTAGTGCAATTGGTTCAAGCTAGCTATGTTACAGTTCTCTAGCTAACAAAAATTGGGGGATGGAGAGTGACAGTAGGGGACTGGTCACACTAATAAGCTTTGGTTTAGAAGGCTAAACAGAAGTATTTTAATAATGTACCTTATACTAAAAGGCACTGTATCAGCTATGAGAAAAAATCAGAAGGTCATCATATTATCATATACATACAAATATAAATGCTGACCAGAAGACTATATTAATTAAAACTTATTCTTTCATGACTTCATATCATAAGCACTGTTAGAGTAATGTTAGTGATATGCATATAGCATAGTCCATTAGTACTTCTGAAAATTTCCAAGTCCATCAATAGCCAATGTCCTTGATTTCTTATATAAACACTCATCTTTCTCCTTATTCATTATCCAAATAAAATACCAACACAATTTTAAAATTCTCAGTTATATACTGCCAAGTATCTTGAATTGCTATTTTAGCATTATGTTGCTAAGAACACAGAGATTACTTTTTATAGTCATTAATCTTTTTACCAAATGGCTTTGAACCTGGTTAAGACAAAAACAGTGTGGAAGTCCTAGGTATAAAAAGCTTGGATGAAGGCATTCCCAATAAAGCCAGCTAAATCCTAACTAAAAAAAACCTTAGGTAATAACTTATTTTAAATGCCTTAATCAATTTCCCTCAAGTTATTTTTTAAAATGGAGTATTATGTTAAGAATAGGACCATGTATGAGGACCGTGTATGATTGACAAAGTCGTAGTTTGGGAAACAAACTTTTTTTCTTTTACACATACTAAATTTTTGTTAGTAAATTTTTGCTTACCTGGAAGTATCACTAGAAAAGTTCTACTGAAGTCTTTGCTAAAATCCTCTCATCTTCCTCAGGAACATAGATAGCTATTCTAAATGTTGCTATGAGGAAAGCATACTTGGGAACCCAGGGGGTAAAATGAGAAAGGAATAGTGAAGTGTGATACAATGAAGAGTTTCATTGTATTCCTATGGGAAGTACTAGAAATTTAACAATTAACCATTCCACAATTAACCTTTTGTTTTGTTTTTAATGCAGACACATATCTTAGTTTACCTAAACAAATAGTTTACCTTAATCAACTCTGAAATAGCAGAACCAAATCTTTACACTAATACATTTTAGTCTAGTTTTCAAAACTCTTTGTCTTTAAATCATTTCTAAGATTGAGTCAACAAAGGACATTACCACATTTGTATCTTATAGTTTATATGACAAATGCTGACATTCTTGATTTTTAAAATTGACTTTCATTCCACTAAAATCCAAATCATCCCTAATTCCTTAAAGATTCTATTTCTATTTAACACTTTTCAGGAGATTCTATATTCTTATGCAATCAGTTGTTCCCAGAAAAACTGAATAATAAGGAAACATACCTAAGAGAGGAGCTTGGGAGATTTTTTTGGTTGGGTATGTGTGTGTCTGGGCGTGTAGGCCTGGGGAGAGTGGTAGAAATACTAATTTGCAATACAGAAAAAACAATGCCATTCACATGGTTCTAACAAAAAATTTCTGACCAGCCCTTCCCCCACCCTCAAAAGACAGTAAATAAAAAGGGAGATCAAAAGAAAATAAAATAATTCCCCAATTTCACCCCATAAATACAATTAAGACCAGCACAGGAAGTGGCAAAGTTTAAAATAATGCCATTATCATTAGGACTAGCAAGCAAGCCACAATCCTTTTGTTTAGTAGGTTGTTGGTTTTCAATTAAAAATTACAAATGAACATGTGTACAAGCTTTTAAATGGATAGCACTTTTAAATTGTTATCAAATTCAAGTTTATTTTTCACAAATATTATAAAAATTCCATTATTTTAAACTTCACTTAAATCTTTTGAAAGCTTTCTAATTTGTACTGAGTGCAGTTTCTTCTGTAAGATATTATCAAATTAAACAGTTTTAAAGGGAGTTTATTTACCAGAAACTTCCATTAAACTTTAAAAAATCAAATCAAATAATTTCAAATATAGACTAATCAAAGGAAAATCTATACAATTAGTGTAACAGTCTACATATAACCATTTTCATACAGAAAAGGGTTAATTTCATGTTACAATGACTAAAAGTACTTATGTTCCCAGCAAACCAAAAATTTAAACTATTACTGAGTTATTTAAAATTATCAAGGCTGCTCTCAAAACTGCATTAACCTAGAATCGTTGTCAAAAAGAACAATACTTAATGTCACTTGCATGTGTAAACTAAGTATTTCAAATCAAATGTATACCCCAAATTCCTTCCTTTTAAAGGTATTACTTCAGCAGCTTAGCAAATCAAATGCAATTAAAGAGTTTTGCTATATCCTATTTTACACTTTTTAAAAAAGGCAACCTACTAATATTCTGTCCCTCAAGGAAATAGGAAAAACATTACTTACCCCATACACCTGCAGCTAAAGATTTATTCTGATTTGGTTCTCTCTCATATTCAGGATTTAAAGATGGCTGAAAGAAAATTAAATTTAAAAATGTAACAAGGCATGTAAGTGTTTCACATCATGAAAGGTCCTTTAAAACAATCACAAGATCATACTTTTTTTTTACTTCGGAACATGGTACAATCAACTCCTGGTTATAATAACTAATTCTCCATAAACTTTGCTTTCAGTTTCCTCTGCTAATCATCAAAATGTCTACTGTTTATTCTCACTGCTAGTTGGAGACAGAATCTTTATCTTCATCTAACTATCTGAAGAATAACTGGATTAAAGTGGAGAAAGTAGACACAAGAGTAGGAATGTAGCATAATGGTAAAGTACCAGTCTAAATACATGCCAGGCAGGCACTGAGTTAAATTAACACTACCTACTAAAAGACAAAAATCCCACAGAGCCAAGGCAGACTTGCCCCTATAGTAGCTGCTACTGAGAAAGGATAAGGAACAGCTTTAGTCAAGTAGTCCAGAGCAGAGCAAGACAGCAGCAAATGGAAAACACCAGTCAGAAGTATAATGTTTTCTCCAGTATACAGTTATGACCAAAGAGATGAAAATTAGACTTTTTACCAATTCTATAAGGTGCTGTATCAATGGGGTGCTTCTGCTAACGGACTCATTCTCAGCACTAGGGAGGATGAGGCAAGAGAATTTGGAATGCCATCTCAAGTACATGAGCCTAAGTACATACTCTGGGCTACGTGAGAGCCTGTCTCAAAGAAACAACAGAAAGAACTAAATAGGACTGTATGCTAGTTGACTTTTTCTGTAACTTGCATAGATATAACCTGTCTCAAAAAAGAAACAGAAACAAACACACAGTCCCAAAGCAAAGCACGAAATTCATTTCAAAGGTTGCTAAGGATTATTCAAGAGATATAAGCAACTAGAATCCTAAGACAGTTTCTTTAGAGTAACTTTACAGTATACCAGGTTACTTTTTGTATTACCTGGCAAAAGAGCCTGCTTAAAAAAAGACACAATACTTACAATGAATAAAATGTGTCCACCAAATACTTTAATTATGCACAGAAATAAATTATTATTAGCATGGAACTAACATTACTATAAAGCCCCATAAAAATATATATGCACTAATCCCCTCAAAGAAAAAAAACTAAATAAAAATTAGTCTATTGGGTGGCTACATATGCTTTTCTTATTATATGATGGTATTAAATGTACTATTATAAACTGTATAAATTACATATAATAGTGTATATACGTGTACATACAGAATGTATGTATATATACATATACATATAAAATAGCCATATTCTAAGTCTAAAGTTATAATAACTGATTATTACTATCTTAGGACTGGAGTTAAGGGACAATAAAATAGCAATTAGGGTTTTGGGGGGGGGGAATAAAACCGGGTCTCACTCTGTATCCCCGCCTGGCCTCAAACTCACAGAGATCAGGCTGTATCTGCTAACACACCAGGCAGTCATTAGTTTTTATTAAGAGCTTACTGTATATATGCTCAGAGTTGACCATTTAGTACTGGATAAACTAATGGTACAGATAACATTATATGTATGTATATATTTAGGAGCCCTCCCTCCCTCTCTCTCCCTCCCTCTTATGCATTCCTAACAAAAGGATCATGAATTTGAAAAAGAGAAGGCAGTTTACATGGAAGTATGAAAACGGGAAATGATATACTTTTATTATAATCCCAAAAATTAAAAAATGTATTTTAAAAAGAAAGAGCTTACGATGAGTTTAGTATGTGTTATCTAATGACTATCAAGTGGAAAAAAAAGACCATTCAAATGTTAAGGTACAGAAATGTCCAATGTTACTTGATAATAGTATCTAAAACAAATTATTTACTCCCCCCCTTTTTCTTAACCACTCCCCTCCCCTAAATCCAATCTGTCAAATTCTTTCCCATGAACTACCTGAAATAGGGCCAAAAGACAGACAAATACTTAACTTCGGTTATCAAAGTTCCCCAAACACAGCATTACTGTTTTGTCATTAGTCTTTCACTAGAATAATTTAGAAACTAAAATCTTTTACACTAAACTCATCCCTTCTTCCTCCCAGGTTTTGTCTTAAGTTTTTATAGTGCTGAGAATTGAACCCAGGACCTTACACATACAAAGCACATGTCCTATCTCTGAGCGCCACATACTCCCAGTTTGTTAGTGCTGACCAGGTTTGTTCTTCTGATCAATTAAGTCCCAGATTCAATGATACAAATAAGCCTCTCTTGACTTCCCTACGCTGTCACTTCCTCTTCAAATTTTCTGCAAAAACAAGTTATTTTTTTCATTAGATGTTGAGTCTTCCCACTAGGAATAGCTCAATGAGAACACAAGATTCTGCCTGTGATATTAAACTATATATTCTGCATACCATGAACAACATAGACTAATACAGCCACTCAAATACATACTAAGAAATAGTAATAATAATAAAGAAAGTGCTGATTCTCTACTTGCACAAAATATGAATTTTAAATTACCATGAATGAATCAGAGCCAAGCACAATGGAATACACCTATATATACCTAGCACTTGGAAAGTGAAGACAAAGGGATCAGGAGTTAAGACTATCCTCGGGTACATAATAAGTTTGGGGACAATCTAGGCAACCCAAGACCTTAAACTCAAACAAGACAACAGCAAAATCAAAAGTAAGCATGTTTACTGGGTCACTTTTCTGTAACTTTAAGAAATACAGTGTTTAGAGAAGACAAACATACTGAGATCAAGGAACAAGAAATGATGAAAACTCAGGAGGATCACATTAACACGTAAGTTCCAAACAAGCCTAGGCAACACAGTAAAACCTTTATCAATCAGCAAAATACCTTTTCAAAATGTGTGTGTGTGAGGCATTTGTAAATAAGCCATTAAACTCATCAGGCTACTAGTTCTAAGGAACAGTATTCAATTTTCTATATGGAATGAAAACAACACAAATATAAGATTCTGGAAGGAGTAGGCAGGGACTCGGAGAAGGTAACTGCTTTAAAGCAGAGTCCCTTTGAGTGGCCAGGGGAGATGGCCCAGGAGATAAAGGTCTGTTGTCAAGCCCAAAAACCTGAGTTCTATCACCTGGACACACACTGTAAAAAGAGAACCACTCCCTGAAGTTATCCTCTGGAGGTTGTGTCAAGTGGCTCATGCTTTTAATCTCGGCACTTGAAAGGGTCTGTGAGTTGTAAGCCAGTGTGGTCTATACTGTGGGTTCTAGGGCAGCCAGAACTAGATGGTGAGACCCTATCTCAAAACATTAGTACTAAGAATAATGTTTTGCCACACTCTATGCTTTCTTTCATTAATTCTACAGCAAAACATTGTATTTGTCTGTAGACCAGGCTGGCCTCGAACTCCCAGAGAACTGCCTGCCTTTGCCTCCCAAGTGCTGGGATTAAATGCATGTGCCACCAACAGCCAGGTTTGTATTTGTCTTTTTTATTACATTAGTGGCCATGACTAAATAACCTAGAAAATTAACAGAAAGGAGGAAATGTTTATTTTAGTGTGCATGGTTTCAGAAAGCTCAATTCACTGGAGTAGGAAAGTCACTGTGCAACAAAAAAATCCACATCATAGGAGCAGGAAACAAAAGGGGGCAGGGATTCCTTTTTATTCCATTTTGACCCCAAGCCCATGCTGCCCACATTCAGAATGTTTTGACCCTTTTAAGATCCTCTCCGGAACTGGGAGCCTGGTCTACATGACAAGTTCCAGGAAGTACAGAGCTACATAGCAAGACCCAGTCTCAATAAAACAAAAGGACAAGTTACTGCGACCCCCACAAACTCTCTGTGGCCTGCACCAACACATATACAACCATACACACAAAATTAAAAGGTAATAAAAAATTCACATTTATAAGGAATTACATATTCCTTATAAAATAGGAAGTTAAAAATAAAGTAGACAGAACCAGACATAGTTGCTCATGCTTGACTTCGACTCAGCCTAGACTGAAGCATGAAACCCTGACTCATACAAAACAACTACAACTGGACAAGCACCTGACCCTACAGAAAATTACCTGTACTAATATAAAAAAGAACAACAAAAACCTAGGAGTGCCTTGATACTAAAATGGCACTTACAGAAACATCATTTGTATTAAAATTATGAGAAACTTACAAAATCCTCAGCCTCAAACTGTCTGCGTTCTCTTTTGTCTTCTTTCCTCCCAGTTTCATTGTCAGGGATGCTGTTTTCATGTAGTCCTTGGCTTTTTCCAGAATGGAAAATACTGCTACGAGAACGGGAATTTCCACCATGGTATCCCCCTCGATGATTTATGTTTTCTGTACCATTTCTGCCATGCGTACGCCATCCATTTTTTTCTTTCCTCCCAAAATTACCTTTATTTGATAACAGTAAAGTAATATAAATTCAAAGATAGTTACACTTAATGACTGAATAGCAATAAAAAATCCTAAAAATATCATGAATTCTATCATTCCTTAGCAAATTTTACCTCCGTTAGGACGTCCAATACCAGAGTCAAAGCCATCTGAAGAGTTGTGTCGTCGACGACTCACATCATAACGATTTTCTGTCCATGAAAAATTTTCAGAATGCTTCTCAAAATTCAATGATGACTGAAATAAATTATACAAATACATTTATTAAGCCTAAATTTAACTTTAATAACAATAGCACACCAACATATTTCTAGGAGTTTAAATAGTTAAGAATACATGCAAAATTAACGTTATTAGTCTCTTTCCTTCTGCTTTACCAAAAAACAAAAACAATAAAAAACATACCTTTCTGAAAGAATTCAAGAACTGCACCTACTTTTCCAATAGTAGTAATAGCAATAGTAGCAATAAAATATCCCAAGAAAACCAAGTTAAAATGTTACATCTTAACAAAATATAAAATTCTGTACTACACTCTATTTGATGTAAACATTTTCATTCTGTTTTCTTCCTACATCAAGAAAAAAAATGTCAAAGAAGGGTGGTGGTGGGGGCACATTCCTGTAATCCCAGCACTTGGGAGGCAGAGGCAAGCAAATCTCTAGAGGCCAGCCTGGTCTACAGAGTGAGTTCCAGGACATCCAAAGATAACAGAGAAACTCTGTCCCTCGCTAACCAAAAACAAAAACAAAAAAAAGATATAAGAAAAATTGTCAAATATGAAACATGTTTAAGTTTCCTAGACTCTTCATAAAATAGTTAAGCAAAAAAGAGGAAAGAATACAGAGTATTTCAAAAATTAGAACGACAAAATACAAGCTATTTACAATGGTTATTTAATATACATATGTTAATGATATAATCAATCAAAATTCTCAACAATTACAATGGATTTATGTGTCATCAGAAAAGAAAAAGATATAGCAGTGCCACTTCTTTCTTCCTCTTTGTCTCTGACCAGGCTGGCCATAAGAGGAAGGGCCTCCTTGAAATAAAAAAATTTTTTAAAGGAAAATCCATAAACTGAGAGACACAATAAGCTATATAAAACAAAGAATAAGGATAAAGTAAGCAAGGGTTACAAAATGCTATTCTTACAAATATGAAGAACTAAGCCGGGTGTTGGTGGCGCACGCCTTTAATCCCAGCACTCAGGAGGCAGAGGCAGCCAGATCTCTGTGAGTTCGAGGCCAGCCTGGTCTCCAGAGCCAGTGCCAGGATAGGCTCCAAAGCTACACAGAGAAACCCTGTCTCGAGAGAGAGAAAAAAAAAAAAAAAAATATGAGGAGCTAAAAGGGAAGCTGGAGTGGTCAGTGGCCTAGTCCCTTTAGAGTCTAGATGTGTCCTAAGTCCCAGATGCTGAACACATGGGCTGCAGGACTGCCCTTATGGTTTGGGACTAGCTTTGGTCTGATTTTCCCTTGGTAGGCCAATGCCTCCAATTCCTCTCTTTTAAAATGGAAATGTTTACTCTGTGCTATTATATACTGAACCATGAAACTTGTTTATTTTAAAGGGAGATTACCCCGAGTCTCAGAAAAGACAGTGATTTTCTGAATCGTGTGGACTGTTAAAGACTATGGGAACTCTGAAAGTGAAACAGATGCATTTTGCATCATCAAAGTTCAGAAGGGGAATGTTGTGTGTGAATGCGTTTAGACACTTAAATTGCCAGTTGGTGGCACTGTTTGGAAGGTTAAGGAACCTTAAGGAGGTAAAGCCTTGCTGCAGGAGGGAGGCGGGTACAACTCACTTCAGATTTCATAGAACTCTACTTCATTCTCTATTCACTGTTTCCTGTCTGCTCGTGGACTATTATCAGCCTGTCTCCAACTACTACTGCCATGACTCCCACAAACCATAAACCAAAATAAAGGAGAGAAATAAGAGAAATGCAACAAAATGGCAAGAACAAAACAGTATTTTTGTACATCAAAATGAAACTTAAAAAGACAAAATTTAGTGATATAAAGTAAACATGGCATTCTGTATATGGCTGTTAAGGGTATACACAGATTAAGACATGCCTACAGAATTATGAATTGGCCAGCTATCATATTCAAAAACACAATCAAATATTTTTACAATTAATGCAAACATGAGACTAACCTATAAGTAAATACCTAATTAGTTTAGAGAGTGGGGTTCTTAAATGCATGTCCAACTAAATTTGCCTGATATCAGGTAATAAGTGAATTAGAAAATTCTGACAAGCGCACGCACTCTCTCTGTCTGTTCTCTTCTTTTACTGTCCTTACTTCTATCTAAATTCCTACTTCCATTGAAGAACTGGGTTAAATACTCATTTTTAAGTGACAAAAGAAACCAGCATTTTACAGGTTACAGACAAAGTTTGAAATCTGATCATGCTTTATCGTAAAGAACTAGTCTGGGAACAGATATACAATACAATCCATTCTTTTACTTAACAGCAACACTCTTTATAGACTAAAGTTACTTGCAAATATGATGAACTTAGTAACAGGCTTCATGCAATTTAACAATGTTTTAGCACAGCAAACTGGGTGAAATGGCCAATTTCTAATTATTGGTGTATAAAAAACTACAAATAAATATCCCTATTATTCCAAATTTGAACATTACATGAACTCAAGGAAGTATTACAGAACTCAAAACCTCAAAGCATTTAAAGTAACATTACCCTCTACCTACTTTGAGAGTAATTCCTTATCATGACTTTTTTGTGTGACTTCAATATTCACAAAGACTATAAAAACAAATTATCAGTTATTATTCTGTGGTCACACATATCTGAAAACAGGGCCTAAATTGGTAGCATTTGGGGGATAAAATAAAACCAAATCATAGGCATTAATCCAGGCAGATCTCTGTGAGTTCAAGGACAGTCTGTACTACAGAGTGAGTTCCAGGACAGCCAAGACTACACTGAGAAACCCTGTCTCTAAGGAAAAAAGAAAAGAAAGCAAACCAACAGTGTGTTAGAAGGGATTAGAAGGGATTAGAAGACATTATCTCAATCATTCAATCAAACAGACAAGAAAGGTCTTCCTTGTGTTTGTTTCTGGACATGTGGTTTTCAGCTATACACAAAAAGGACACTCACTGTATAACTCTATATGCATTCGTTTATACCTCACATCTAACAACCTGAATAACTCAGATTCTTTTATCAATTATTATCTTATTCCTGGATCTGCATTCTCTGTGGTAACAGACTGATGTCTGTCAGTCTGGTTGTTGTTGTTGTTGTTGGGTGGGGGTGGGGAAACAACCTCCTATGGCAAGGTTCTCTCCTTCCACTTTCATGATGGTTCCAGGGATTGAACTTTTTTATCAAGTACTTTTAAGCACTCTTATCTCTACCATCACATTCATGTTTCTGTGTAAGTGATCTCTAAGACCATAATCAGAAAAGTAAATAAAAGTAGTAACATTTTGTGTGCTAACTTTAAAAAATTAATGGGCTGAATGAAAGCTGACTCAGTGGTTAAGAGCATAAACTACTATTCCTAAAAGTACGAGTTTGATTCCCAACTCTTAAGTGCCTATTGTGCAAGCTCCAAGAGATCCAATGCTTCTGGCCTCTGTCAGCACCTGCACTCAAGTCCACACACACATGGATGGATGGACATGGACACACAGACACTTGAACACACAATCTTTTTGGAGTTCCAATGTGGGGAAAAGCAAGAACTAGGGGCTGGAGAGGCAGCTCAGAGGTAAAGAGCCCTAACTGCTCTTCTAGAGGTTCCGAGTTCAGTTCTCGGCAGCCACATCGTGGTTCACAACTATGGTGCCCTATTCTGACATGCAGGCAAACATGCAGACAGGACACTGTGTAAATAATAAGTATTTTTGAAAAAGCAAAAACTAAGGATTGTCTTTTGCTAAATGGCTTACCCAGCACCTATTAACACCTTAGGTTTTATCACAAGCACGTGTGATAAAAAGGTGAAGGCATTTCCAAATAACAAAAATAGAATAACTAGTAAATCTAAATTACATGACATGACACAATGAAAAACATCCTTTGACCTTATTAAAAAAGGAAAAAAGAATAGAAAAAAAAAACCTGAAAGGAAATTCAAATACATAGAGGTAGCAAAGTACAGAAGGAATGGAAAGTGTTAATTCAACTGTTTTATGTTTGTGTTTCTGTGGGTGGGTGGGTAGGTGTGTGTGTGTGTGTGTGTACATATACATTATAGGATTTTAAAAATTACTTATTTTTCAGTTTCTTTAAAAAAATATTTTCTACTTCCGACCTTATTTATATTACTAGGAGGAATGTAAAGTTCTACAGACACTTTGCACACCAGTGTGGCAGGGGTTTTGGGAAGGGTAGGGGGTGGGATCCCAATCAGAGTTTCTCTGTGTAGCACTGGCTGTCCTGGAACTTGTACACCACCACTACCCAGACAGTTTGGCAGGGTTTGTTAGGTTTTTCAAGACAGGGTTTCTCGGTGTAGCCTTGGCTGTCCTAGAACTCATTCTGTAGACCAGCCTGCCTCTTCCAAGTACGGGGATTAAGGGCTTTTTTTTAAAAACCCCGGTATGGTGGTATACACCATTAGTTCCAGCACTTAGGGGGTACAAGCAGGTGGATCTCTGTGAGTTTGAGGCTAGCCTGGTCTACATAGTTAGTTACAGGACAGCTAACACTATGTTATGTAGAGAGACTGTCTTTAAAAGCAGCAGCAACAACAACAAAAAGAGCTTAAGACACAAGTGATGGTATTAAATGGAGGTATGAAGATTAGGAGTTCAACGTCATCATCAGCTACACATTAAGTTTAAGGCCAGCCTGGACTACATGAGATACCTTCATGGATGGATGGACGGACGGACTGAGGTTGGGGGAAGTAAAGGAAGGAGGGAAGGGAAGGGAGGGGAAGGGAAGGAATAGGGGAAGGAGGGAAAGGGGAAGGGAAAGGAGGAACACAGCAGCAAACACATACATATCTATCTGACTTTTCAAGTATCTTCACAGATTAATGCACTGAAGTTTTAGATGGCAATATTCAATACAGCAAATAAACTATAAACAAGCCAATTGTGGTGATATACACCTTTACTGCCAGTAGCTGGGAAACTGAGGCAGGAGAATTGGAAGTTTGAAGCCAGTATAAATTAAATATCAAAGCCATATCCAAAAGAAAAGAAACAAAACTAGGCTGCAAACCATATTCAAAAGA